TGGGCGGCGATAGTTGTTCAATGGACTCTGTGCGCTCAATCGCTCTGACACCGTTGGAGCGACAAACATACGCAAAATGATCCATTTTCTGATAGTTGTCACATATTTTTCCCTTGGCAGGACAATCTTTCGGAGACGCATGACGTGCTCATCCACAGTATCTGCATGCTGTTGAAAAGTCGGCACGCTGACTATGCTGTTGCCGTTGCGCGGTGGAAGGCTGCTGTTGATGTCTGTACTGCTGGTGCTGCTGGCGCGGCTGCCTGTGCTGCGCCGGTGCACAAATCCCTACTGATGTCAGGCGGACCAGAGCTGTCACGGCCGTTCACGATCTCGACATTACGCATCGCCGAAATGACGGTATTTACAGACACTTCCTCCTCTAGTGACTTCAGATGAATTCTACGGGACAGCTCCTTGTCAGACATTCCTGAGATAAGACGATCTCTGATACGCTCATCAACGTCAGTGAAGCTGCAGTGCTCAGCTAGAGAGAACAAAGCTCTGATGTACGATTCATTAGTCTCGCTTGGGCTTTGAGATCTAAGCTCGAAGTTGTGACGCTCTGTAATAAAGTTCCTTTTCGGAATGAAGTACCCGTCTAGCATTGAGACAACAACTTCAAAACCCTCCTTCTGCTCAGCAGTAAGCTTTAATATTGGTACGATATGCTCAGCCTGCGGACCCATGCTGTAAATCAACGCGGCTACTTGAACGTCACCGTCCTCTTTGTGTAGTCCCGATGTCAGTCTGTAGCGGACGAACCGATCACGCCAGGTCGGCCACCTCTCAGGCGATGTGAAGTCGAATTCCTCAGGAGGACGAAATCCAGGCATCTCGACTTGGTTCACAACTCACACTGCTTGAATTAATGTGCTGCTCACGCTTGCTTAAGCTTACTATAGGTTCAATGCGGCTGCGCCATATTCAAGTCTTACGTGTTCTGTCCGCCCATACCATACACGCGCGCTGCGAGACGGCAACTGTATTTACCCGCGAGGCGAGCGGGCGGCGCCTCAGGCAGTATACCGCCAGTCGGGGCAGCGGCGTACCAAGGTGCAGCAGCACTGGCGGCGCGAGCAGGGGCGGCCTCATGTGCACGCCAGTAACATCATGATACAGAAACCATGGCCTGACTTTGACCTAACATGACTTTGACTTAGGTCGGCGACCTCACAAGGTACATCTAGATTGTTGATGCCAGACGATCCGCTATTCAATTCAGCTACGCAAAATTTGGCGCGGCTGCGCCGCGCCATTCGGAAATAATTTCAGAAAACCTTCGGCGGGACGTCAATTTGACCCCCGCCCGAGCGCGTGTGCCATGTACCGTTTAGCTGGTTTGATCACATCACGGCGAGCAGACCGATGATTAACAGGCTGCGGTGATAATCCAGTCGGTTCAGTCCGATCTCTGGCCGGTGTTGGCGATCGGCGCAGAGATGTCTGGTCCTGCGGGCTGTTAACGGCACAGGCAGGCAGTCCAGTGGAGAACCGACAAAAACTGTGCAACCCATTGGCTCGTCAGTAATCGACCGGAAAATGCCGAGGGGTTTCATTTCCGAAACCCGTTTCGAATATCACGTGTTGTGTCTGGACCTGAAAAGACTGTTCCATAAAAAGAAGTCCTGTTTGTTAGCCTGTTTGTCTGGGTCAATATCCATGCAAAATATTTTTGTTTTTGCAATTATCTGGTAACGGGTGCAGAAACCGCAAATTATTGAAAACTCATTCATATCATCGGCCAAGATTTTCGAATCTGACTAGACCCATAGCCAGCCAGCCTTCAGGCAAATCGTGTGTGGATTGGAGAGCAAACGCCGCTTGACTAGCCCATCACTCATTAAATTGCCAGCCAAAACGCACACTTTCTAACGCATTGCTGGAGACGATTTGCATCGGCTGTTGAAAATGCTTGGTTTCGCTACTTTAGCATTTGGCATTATCTACCCAACGAAACACGATTTTCACACTCGCTCGTCTCGCGCAGCACAATCTTCCGTACTGGTTGGTATATCCCAAACTGGTATGAACCGTAGTTCTCGCCGCATGACATCACGTTCTCCCCCTAACCAGCCGATTTCCATCCCGTCCTTCATACGCGAGTAAGCTCACATTGACTGCAAGCGCAGAGTAACGGTACTCATTGCACCACCAGCCGCAGAGCCAACGATTGTTACGTTGGCGATATGTGAGGCGACTGTTCTGTCACCGACTAGTCACTATGCAACAAGCCTCCCCAGTCCGCCAGCGTTGCACACACCAGCTGGACGGGATGGGATTTTTAAAAAAAACACACAACCCGTTTGGGTCGGCTAACGTCGGAGGCGAGCCTTGATCCATGATAGCACCGGCCAGCTGGAACATCCGGAACACAAGTCATGCAACGCGAGCTGGGCGGTGATCGGTGCACGATAGCTCTGATCACACTGTCAGATCATACTCACCATGACCTGCATGTGCTGGAGAGCAGCACTTTAGGCTCCGGCGAGCGCAAGCCATGCGCCTCCGGACGGGGAGAGGGGCAAAACAGCCACAGTGCTCAACACACGCGCGCACGACATGATCCGTTCACCACAAAACCCACTGGTGCTGCAGCGCTGTACCATGTGGTACCGCGTCGTATACATCAACGCCACCACCAGTCGACCAGACGGTGAACAGATCATGCGCGCGCTCATGAGTTTATGCAATTGTTTTATGAAACGGTGTATTTTCAACTGATGTCAAAATCCCGTGACGGTGTCTGTTTGGAGGGAGAGATATATAAAACGTATTGATGGCGTCTGTGAAATAGGGTCAGTGATGTGCTATACTTTATCGCCATTTGGCATTTTGATTTTGTGCTATTTATATTTTTTGTGTTTGTATCGTAAAAGTGCGTTATCGATGTTTCAAAGTCGGCGAAGTCAGAAGTTAACCAATGCGTCCACGTGACCAATTTTTCCAAAACGATGATTGTCTGTCAGTGGCTGTTTTTAAATCCTGAAGTTGCTGCAAAGCAGTATATATTCACTATTGTTTTGCCCATTTTTTTATAAAACGACCGAAGGTTATTTTATTATGCGTGACCTTTGTTATGATGAGGCTCATAGCAGCTTTATTTGAGCTGAAGTTACTAAATATTGCCTATTGTTTTATTTAAAAGTTTGATATAATGCCTGATGCAACGCACAGCATTTTTTAGTCATAATCTGTAAAAACAGCTTAGGGTATGCCATAAGTATAATGTTGGACGGCTTGCTTTGTCAACAAACAATGAGGCGTATTTGTTCAAGTTTATTGACAATTTTGACAGGTTTGGGTAATTTATGCCAAATTCTGCTTTCTGCTTGACGAAGGCTGGAGATTTATTGCAAGATTGAACAGGGCGCCTGGGTGGGGGTCAACTTACCCCCCCCCCCCGATGTTTTTTCCAGAATGGTTTCCAAACGGCGCGGCGTAGCTCCGGGAAATTTTGCAGAGCTGCAGAAAATTGAATACTGAATCGTTCTGTATCAAAAATTTATATGTACCTTGTAAGGTCGCTGACCTATGGCAGGTCAAAGTCGGGTCATGGTTTCGGAGAAGTCAATTCCTAGAGAATCGTTCAATCTGACGCAACAACGGAGTGTTAGACGAAGCCATACATCTCTGAGATGCTTTCTTTTGCAACACAGATATTTAATGAGCATATCATGGTGACCTAAGGCTAAGTATGGAGGTAAGACCAAGGTCAAGGCCAACTTGTTTTATTACTCTAGGGCTTGCTGTATGGGATAACTTCTAGTGCTCATTTCGAATCATTGATAGGCAAGAACTGTATCATACAACATCCATGGACTTCTTAGAAGTCAGAATAGACCATTGACTTAAAATGACCAGTTCAACATTTTTGTTTTTAGAAACATATTGCCTAGCATAATCTTTGTCGCTTATTCAAATCAAAAACTCAGAACAGCCTGGTATGATTTTGGTGTCCATGACCTTCAAAAGGTTAAACAAGTTCACTGACCCTAAATAAGCATGTGAACCTTTGCTTAGAAACAATTATCTAGGTTTTGAGAGCACTCTGGAGACTAACCTGAAATTTGACCTTGTTTGACCTTATTTGACCCGAAGGTCATGATCTAGGAACCTCAAACCTTGACCTATATGAGGTCACGTTCAGGTCAACACACCCTGTAAATTTAGTGCCTCTAGCTTTGTTAGTTTCCGAGATCTTGGGGGGGGTCAAACAAACCCCCCACCCCCCCACCCCACCCGAACGAGGGGTATCTAGCCGGCCATCCGGGTGTGTATTAAGCGGCGACGCAGTGCTTTGTATTGTCGTAGCTAAAAAAGCACGTACAGCTTGCCACAGCAAATTCCATCCTGATGCGGCCTGACCGGTCAGTTTGCGGGCCTGCTGCCAGATTGGTTCGGCTTTGGGCAGGGCTCACTCGGCCTGTTCAGACCAGTTGGGAGCTCCGGTATTAACGTCGCAGGTCGCCGGCACTCAGCATTTCGCCACACTCGATTGCACGGAGGGTTGGCACGACTCCCCTACCGAATCCATACGCGTCATTCCAGAGCAAAATTGCAACAACTGGAAGAAACAAGGCAGTGGCAATGCCCTGGTGCGATCTATAGCATTTATCCTGCATTTTAGTGTAATCTGTCAAGTCTGTTCAGATGACGTCAGACCAACTTAAGCCGGCTCTGTACAGTTGCGTATTGGTCACAGAGTGAACTTGATATACATCACGGCACGACACAATTTTCCAACGATTATTTCAGGTAAAATGACGTCAATCCGTGATTACCCCTTGAATTTTACATCGACTGACCTGCACTTACGATTTTCATGTGTGGCGATGCTTTTTGAAAGGTAAAAATAACCTATCAAGGAAGTGTTGGATGATTTTCAGGTTTGTGCCCGCCGTGATCTTTATATCGAATTGGCTCGTCCGCTGGCTGGCTTTACATAACTTCCACGATGTGGCCCGATGTTTCATTACACTGAATAATCTTAAACAGGATAACGACTTTAGAAGACGTTTATAATGTAACCATTCCGCATGTTTAGTACCACTGAACAAAACGATCCAGTGTACACAAAGTGGAGGACACGTCAGTAGGCCCCAATATCTACATGTTTGTCACCAAGAGCTCTTAGAATTAGTTCTTAGGTTAGTGAATTGGCGTGTTAGAATTTATTGAATAGTGGGTCAGGTTGACCAGCTTTTGAACTAAACATCCAAAATTCCATTCCATTGGGGCGAACAGCTCGGGAGCCATCCCTCCAAAAATGAGGGGTTTGCATCACCGCCTGACCGTGTACCGCAAGGGACCAGCAGAAAGGTAAGACGTCGGGTTACGCTACAGACAGCCTGATTTAACCCAGGCTGAGCATGCTGCACCACGCGATGCTCTTCTGCAGTGCAGTCGGGTCCCCCTGGTCGATGGCACGAGCCTGGGGACTGGGGCAGTGCTCATGCCGGGCTGTGTCCAGCCAGGGACCATCCGCAGCAAAATCCCAACATGGCAAGACTTTCATGGATATGTATACAGTATCTAACGCAGGGAGGATAGCATGCTTAATTTCATAACACACCGATCAACGTGGCACGCGATCGTGGGCGACGGGCGGCCCCAGCCCTTCTCAGGCGCAATTCTTCTGGCTGTCGCTCCAGCGCTGTGGAAACTCGCACTGCATGTGCACAGCCTCGCCGTCCTTGCAGTAGTAGAAGAAGCGGGCGTTCTCGGGGTCCGCGAATAGCCCGTCCGGTTGTGGACAGCTGAAGCCGGGCCCGGGGCTTGGGGTTGTCCACGGCGTCGTGGGCGCTGAGGTAGATGGTGCTGCTGTAGTGGTCGCCGTTGCAGTTGTAGATGGCATCGTTGTGGTGGTCGCCGGTGGAGTTGTAGATGGCGCTGCTGTAGTGGTCGCAGGTGGAGTTGTAGTCGGCGCTGCGGAGGTGGTCGGCTCGGTTGTGGGCCATGTCGGGGTGGTGCTCGCGTCAGGGGTGGTCGTCGCAGGAGTGTCTGTTGGTGCTGGCTGAGGGGTGGACGTACTACCTGGGGCCAGAAGAGACTGTGTGAGCACTACTGGGGAGCTGAGGCTGGAGCCGGACCATTTGAAGGAGCGTCGTTACCACTGACATTGCCAAGTATATGGGCGCGTTTCGTCCACCTGTTTCCTCATGTGGCCTGAGCTTGAGAACTACCGCACCAAAATTCCGCATTGTCTATCTAGCCGATAGTGGCTGATGCAGTGCACTCAGTGCCGTTTCGCGTGCCAGTCGTCCGGGAGGCTCCAGTCTCCGACAGCTCACCTGCCACGGTGAGGCGAGCGGAGCGCGAGCTGACGTGCGCCTGCTCGTCCAGCGGCCAGCACGTCCAGAGGCCGTCGTGGCGCCAGTCCACGTCCTCAATGATGAGCGTGCAGACCCGCTCGTGCTCCGGGAACAGGGCGCGCACCTTGGGCGGCGGGAACACGTTGTAGAAGTGATCGACGCCCAGGTGGGTGCCGGCGAGGCGCCAGGCGCAGATATCGTCGGCGTCGGCCTCCACCAGCTCGCAGTCCAGCTGGACCGACTCCCCCGGCTGCACGTGAGCGTCCTGCGGCTGAGAAACGAAGTCCGCCTCGCCCGCCGGCCCGCCTGCGGCACCCGCACATACGAGTCAAAGTCCTGCTGCGAGTCAGGCTTGCTGCCATGGCAGTCACGGTCGCTGGAATGGGTTATATTTTCTGGTAGATGCAAGCTAACTGGCCCGAACCAGGCTCACCGGTGCGAGTTTAAATCGCAAGTGTGATCAGACACACCAGAATCTCCTGGTGGCATAAAGACATACCATCTTTAGTACAATGATTTTCCATTTCATGATGCCGACAAACCGGAAGCTCAGTGCCTTCCCTCCTTATATCAAGTATTTCCACTGGCATCGATGATCGGTCATCCAAGTATCTGGCCATGCCAGGAATGCTGACACTTGAAACACTTATCCGCGCAGATCTGCAACAATATTAGGAAAATGTTTGAGCCCTACAGCATCAAAGTCGATCGGTAACAATACAAGCAAAAATTAAAGCCCGGCAGTTAAATTTCGATTAGTATCCTCAGACAAATGCAAGAAATAGTGTTCCTACATTATAACAAAAATTGTGTTATATGTTGTTGCAGTTTTGCCAGCAGATAAAGCTCTTTTTGATCTCACACTGATCCGCACCTAATATGATCATCCACTTTTTAAAAAATAAGACTCGAAACGACAGGACTAATGAGCGATTTATCGAGAAGTGGCAGACGCCCAATGAAGGTGCCCAATCACAAGCCTTGCGATAAGACATGAAGCGCACTGACAGGCTGCCGGAAAAGTATTTGCTGGGCTGTTTTGTACTTATTATATCTCGACCAAGCTGGCCTTCTTGGCATTTCATACTTGGCAGCACAGGCTATGTGCGAACATTTGGCAGCAGAGTTCATGTGTGAACGGTTGGCAGCAAAGGTCATCCGGTTGTAATTCATCAAGGAAATATAAAGAAACTAGCTACGTTTACGGGGCATTTTGGTGCAAAACTTTCAAACATTTTAAAAAAATTTTCTTCACTTGGACCACTAAACCTCGATACCTCAAGGCTGTTTGAGCCAGCTCCATCTGCCGATGGCATTAACCGATTTGCATAGTTCGTCGTCCACAAAAGAGAGTTTTACATACCCACTTACATACTTTACATACTTCATACTTATTTTGTTTCGCCATTATACATACTTGCTAACCTGTGGTGGCGTGAAATCCAGAATGTGTGACACTAGTGGCAGGCCTCCATCGATGTTCCCGGCACCAGATATCACGGAAAAAGACGAGCCATTTTAGTAAGGCTACGCCCACACGACTGTCGATAAGAACGTAAACGCACCGCGCCCGTATTTGTGATATCAGGATGATTCTCTCAGTAGCCATGGGTCATGCTGAACTGTAATTTAATGTGGTGCGAGCGGCCATGGGTTTGAGGTAGAGTTCTTTGGTATAGCTTCCGTCTAATTGTACCAAAGAGAGGGTCTTGAGGAATTAAATCGACGCAAAATGTGTTTCAGACAGAAAGAAATGCTGGGACGGCGTGTAATGATTTCTTCAAAGGAATTAGCAGCACCAGTGAGCTCAGATTACGAGTTCGGATGCTGAAAATGGCATCGGCGTAACAAGAAGTACAGCTCAATAGGCTGTGATTGCCCATTGAATCGGTGCTGGTCAGTGCAATACTGTGGATTCCCATTACATCATTGCTAGCCAGCGTAATACAACGTTTACCAATCAAATCGCTGCCTGGGTTTGGAGCACCATAGCTTCCAATGGTGATCCTGAGGGTGCCTCGTCCTGAAGTCAGCGTAGTCTGGTGGTCTGATCTGCACGAGGCCGCTGCACCAGCTTACCTGAGACCAGGCTGCAGCCCAGCATGATGAGGAGCACAGGACGCATCCTGCCTGGTCGGTCGGGTGATCTGACAGAACTGTGCGTCGAGGTCAGACGCCGAAAACTGCATAGCATGAGCTCCATCAGATGCTCTTCAGAACATCATATCTTATCGGGCACTTCATGGATGGCGATTGTGCAGTGCGCGTTAATCGAATTATCTCGTGCGGGCGTGACCGGACCTCTCAGGGTGGCCGTGGATTCTGAAGAAGCCGGAGATCCGCTTCACTGAGACGCGCTTTTAGTTTCTAAACCTTCTGACCGTTATCTGCCTCTCGGTGTCATTTTTCTGCTAGCAAAATGAGGTTTGATATGATTTTACCAACTGAAGTGCGTGCGTACATTTCATGACTTTACGCATGTGGAGTTAATGTCATGACAGGGTCAGGAGCGTATGTAGGAATCGCCAATGGGGGGGGGGGGGGGAGCACACCTCAAACGACTCAAAAGTGTGAAGGAAAACGTGCCCTGATGTCTCTCCTTGAACACGCCCCTGGCCAATGGCGGAAATAAAGAGAGAGGGAAAGAAGAGAGAGAGAGAGAGAGAGAGAGAGAGAGAGAGAGAGAGAGAGAGAGAGAGAGAGAGAGAGAGAGAGAGAGAGAGAGAGAGAGAGAGAGAGAGAGAGAGAGAGAGAGAGAGAGAGAGAGAGAGAGAGAGAGAGAGAGAGAGAGAGAGAGAGAGAGAGAGAGATGTAGTACGGCGGCTACATAGATTTATTTTCTGTTGAAATAGCTCTTTAAATCGCAGGAGTTGGTAGTTGAACCAGCACGGTCTGTCTGCAGGACCTCAGATCGTGTAGAAGTGTTGCAGACGTATTTCACGCTGCAGCATCTTCTGCCGAGCTTCCCAGTTACTGTGCACAGTACAGTGGAGGATTCAGGGTATTGTCAAGGGGGGCACGCAACATTGTATTTGTTTGGGAACCCCCTTCCAAGACATCCTCGTAATTCGGCGGTTCAATTTTCGGGTTTTTATGTATTCTTTTTTGTGTACGGGAAACCATTTTTCTTTGCTCAACCCTAGAAAACTAGGCGCGGTACATACGCATGCGTGCGTATATACCGCGCATGTGTGTGCATGGAGCGCATTCATTTTGTCCGGACCATCGTGGGTCCTGCCATTTTGAGGCTAAGTATTTCGGAGAATATATATCAAAATAAGTTTAGATTGTGCTGCTACATACCATCACAATCAAGCACGATACGTCAGCCCAGGGTTGGCTGCGGTTGGTCAGTTTCCGGCGGCTAACCGGTCGGTCGATGTGATCAACTATATATAGCTGATGCTGATGGCTAATAGCTGATGGAGAGCTTTTTTCGTTAACAGCAATGAAGGGGCACAAAATACGCTGGCGTTAAAAATAAGTTGATAACGTAATGCTCAAGCGTGTGTGTCACAAATTAGACAGCCAGCGAAAGAGGTAAAACCGATGTCGGCGGCGCCTAACATAATCTTGGACAATGGCGAGTAAAAATTAATCGCAGCATATCCGGCTGATGCTCTCTGGTGCTAAGACGCCAAGGAAAACCGGCATCGGAAAGGTATCGGACTTGTGTACATGAATTCATGTAGCCAGCATCATACACACGAGCAGGCAAAACACTACGAGTGACGAAAGTGCTGGCATTCGCAAGCAAGTGCGAGTCTTTCGGCAACAAAAGTGTCAGGTCCTTCTGGCTTCATTGGGAGAGCTCAAGACCAATGTGGAGAGCCACGAGCAATCAGGAGTGTCTCGGTCGATAACATAGTCAGCAAAGAAGCTTCCGTCAATAGTGCAAGGTACGCGGAACAGATATGAAGTACTCAAGACCAATGTGGTGGGCCCCCTTGCAATCAGGAGCGACTGGGCAGGTTAACAGAAAGGGGCCCCGACAAGAGTGCAGAGTACTTCGCTAGGATATGAGATGAACGGAGCCCTCGACCAATGAAGAGGGCCCCTGGGTAGTGAGTACCTCCGTACGTGATTTAAATGATCCCCAGAAACAGTCAAAAGTCCTCTGAACAAGTGGGAGCAGTACGAGACAAATGTGGAGGGCCTCTGAGCAGCCGAGAGCGCCTCAGCAGGTTGACACATGGGCCCCAGCGATGGCGTGCAGAATCTTTCAGGCGTATGGGGAGAAGCCGTAGGAGGCCCCTGATCGATTAAGAGTGTTCCGGTGGTCAGGATATACGGCTCGGGCAAGCACGTAGGGTCCTTTGAATAAATGCGACGAAATCAAACGCTCGTGGAAGGCTCGTTAGCGACCGAATTGACCCGGCAAGTGACAATGTAGGGTCCATGGCAACGGCGTAGGGCCTCCGGACAGCGTAACTACCCTGACAATCAGGCAAATAATTATTTTTGACTGCTCTATGGAAACCTTTGTGGTCCAAAAGGGGTCATTCCACTGGTGCAGAACAAAAGTTAGAAAATTTATCATGATCGCCCACATGTCCATGAGTCACAGCTCTAAATTTTTCGAATAGTTAAAGTCAGAGTCGGTTACTAGAGTTCTTTCAGGCGGTGGTTATTATGAATTCAGTAAAATGCTAACGCAGCGCTGTCAAACACAAGACAAAGCATTACGAAATGAAAAAGCGAAAGCAAAAGCAAAACGCAAGTACCACCCAAAGCCCTCACTATGGACACACACACACACACCAGCAAAGCCATCCCAAGCGCACCACAGCGACATGCCGCGCTGCTATCGCCAGCGGCCGGCGCCGCAGACCTGCCTGCCGTCCCAGGACGATGCGGCTCTGCATGCAAACTTCCGCTGAGTTTTGGCCAGTCAACATTCTGGCCGCCGCTGCACGAATGTCGCGCGACGACAATGGGCGCGACGAGCAACATGTCCGATATTTCTGGAGGTCACTGGCTGCGAAAACTGCAACTGGAGCCGCCACACCACAGCAGTTGCACTTTAAGTGGGCTAGGATAGCACGCATTTGCTCGATCCATCTGGGGCCGAATCCCTTGATGCCGTAAGATTGACTTGCATCAGTCGCCTTTGTATTAACTCTGTGCTGCATGCAAACGATCCCTGCCTCCGAGCGCACCCTAGCTAATGCTTCGTCTGCACACTGCCAGACGTTTTCAGCTGGTAACAAACAACATCACACAACCATTTTTGTGAACCACAAGCGCTTCAGTGGTTATTGCAGATGACCAGAGGCCATAACGCCAGCCAGGGATAAAGCCAGGGCATAGAGCCCGGGTCTTTCACGCGAAGCTCAAGCACGATTCCGACTGAGGTACAATATCTTGTGTTACCCAGCTAGAGTGGTGTATCCATCATTGTATAGAGCCTCAGTGAGGCTTATTTTCATTGTGTACCGAAGACGTAAAGCTTCCAAACACATTTTATACCTGTTGGAAACCACGTACATTGTTGTAGTTATTATGCCACGCGGGCTCGCAGGGTGGGGTGTGTTCAGCCGCGGATCCTTCTGTGGGACACCTGCGTCCGGCCGGCCTCTAGTGGTGGCGCCTCCAGCACCCAGGCTGGCCGGCATCTAGTAATGGTGCCTCCAGCACCCAGGCTGGCCGGCCTCCATTAGTGGTGCCTCCAGCACCCAGGCTGGCCGGCCTCTGGTGGTGGCGCCTTCAGCACCCAGGCTGGCCGGCCGGCCTCTGGAGGTGGCGCAGCTGGTGTCTGGACCAGCAAGCTGAGTCCCCGGATTTTCTGGATTCAGGGTGAGGGAAGGAGACCACGGCGAGAGGGGCTGGTGTGATTAGGCGATGACGGGCTGGACACGGCACATCCAGGCTGAGGACAAGGTCTGGCCGATACCACAGCATAGCTAATGCAGGGTCAATGACACCAGCGACACAGCTGACATGTTCTTTGACCTGCTGATCCATAAACACATAGCTGCAAACACGACTGCGACTTGGTACAAAATATCTAAGATGGTTGGCTGCAGCAAATATACGTAAGAAACTTCACATGAGATATCATGGATTTGCTTGAGACAAAGAATGATGAATTTGTGCTGCTATCGAAGGAACTTCTGTTATGTACGGGCTGCCACTGGTCGTAGAGATTTTGACGGACAAAATGTATTGGAACGACCCGCCTGCGTGTTACAAAGAAGGCTTTGCTTTGAGCAGGTAGGGCCTCGTTCGCTCCAATCTCGGTACGCGCAGTTGACCGTGCATGTGTAGTTGTGTGTACGTGAGGGGACAGCGGCGGACCGTCAGTGGGACGCTTCCACGCCTGGACCACGTCCGACCCGGCGCAGCGCGGCCAGGTGGCGGCCCCAGGCCAACCCGCCTTGGTGTCGCCGACCTGGACCACCCGTCGGCGGCGCCGACGCCGGCACTGATTGGGCGTCCATGCCGCCTTACATGGGCCGCCGAGCACGGCCCGGAATAATGCATACACCGCGCGCGGCGCGGGCCAGATGAGTCGGCCGCGCTCCCGGCTCCGGTCGGCGCTCCTGGAGACATGTGCGCGGAGCATACACAGCACGACCGGCGCCCGCCGGGCCGGCAGATGGCCGCGGAGGAACTCGCCGTCCGTGATCACAAGCACGCCATTGAGCAGGATGTTGGCGGGCGTTGGGCACGAACTTGAAATAAAGTGTCTGTGTAATGAAGTGTAAAACCTGGGTCTTTAAGTTCGCTGAGAGCTGGCATATCTAGCATTGGTATCAAAGGGGCTTGGAGTTGCTTGTACACATATCTCATTCACTGCCACAGTATTGTTTACTTGATATATATATATATATATATATATATATATATATATATTCGGCGCCGATTGCACAGTTAGCATCTAACTGAAGCACTGCGATAAACCGGCCAGTGATTGATTACCACATGCCTTCATGACCTCCTGAATCGATTAACTTAGCCCAGCACCAGGCTAGATGTCTGGTTCGTGCTGACTGGAAAGTTTTTACGTCGCGCGTGGACAGCAGCTGACGGTTTCAGGCACACAATGCAACGGCTCTCTCTGCTGCGATAAAGACTCGCATAAGTGGGGGCAGAGACGGAAACGACCTAGGGAGATAGACAGATAGCTGGAAGAAAGAAGAAGGTTCGGGTAAGGGTGAGAGATTGACGG